GAAAGTGGTTTTTTGTATTTTTTCTTGCATGTTTTCCCCATAACATTTTTTTGAACTTTCATGTATGCATGTTGTTAGGTTAAACTTCCAATCACTTTCTACTCTTAATTTGGTCAATTAAGATGTTAAAACTTTTCATGAACTATAACTTCTACCCATTGTGTAGTGGATCGAATGAATTAACCACAAAAATCTAATGAAGTAAGCATATTATCATTAAGGTTTTGCAACCTAGACAGGGGATCTTAAGAATCATGCAAAATATCATACGGTTAAGTGAAACTTAAATGTATGACTTTCTGATTCATATGATCAAGGCATAGGCTAAGGAGAAACTTTATCCCACCAGTTGATAACTATCACGTAGTGGAACATGTAGGAAAACCACAATTTTGAACTACACCCTAGTCATAGAGGCATGAGCCTCATCCCTTCTAAAGAACAGTAAGATTCTTATTTTTAGTTTTTCGAGATCTTGCTTTATTACTAGAATTTTAGGATATAATTTCTATTTTTTTATCACACTAAGCTAGGTTCCAAAAGATAGTAAATCATCTATTAGAATAGATTTTAGCCCTTTTCTTGTGTGATGGATATGCAAACTCTTTGAACTGTATATTACTTGATACATATACTTGCATGCTTAGCCACTTATCTTGCGATAATTTTTCGACAATCAGCAAATCATTTAGTATTTTCATAAAAAATGATATTATAACCATCAACTATGGGACTAAGCAAGATGATAATGCTCACTCTCTCAATCGACACGAATATGTTGGCATCTTATATGGGTCAATATCACACTAACGAAAGTGATACGCATACATCGAAGTAATATCTTTCTATAAATTCAATACAAGTAATTAAATCATTAATGATAATTTTATATGGGTTTATAATCTAATAAATTGTGGAATAAATCAAATGCCAGTCAAAATTCATCACATACACTAGTATCTATATTTCTTATCAATTAAGAGTCTGTTTTGGGCAGCTGCAACTTATTTAATAATTTGTTAATAAACTGATTAAAAATAATTTGATGATAAGCTATGTGCGATGGTTATTACAAATTTTTATTTTTTTGGAAAAGCCAGATCGCTATCAGAAAGTTGTCACCGCACCTAGATAGGTGGGGTGTGAAAACGCTGTTTTCAGCGTTTTGAAAACGCATAAGCTGCCAAAACGCAGTTTACCTAAACAGGTCATATTCGTTTTTAAAACGCCACCGCACCAAAAAAGCTGTCCCAAACGGGCCCTAAAAGTTTAAGTAAATCAATGAATTCAAATCATAATAACCTTCATTTCCCCTCAAACAAAGCCCACTTAACCAGTGTCGGTCGTCAAATTAGAAATTGTCCATCGTCGGAATGGATATCTCGATGTTATATATATATATATAATTTAGAAAAATAAATATTTTAATTTTTTAAAATACAAGATCGAACTGATCTTATATCTGCAATAGTTTAAATTACCGAGCACAACACCACAAACAATATATCTACCTCGAAGGATATATACATTACTTGCTGGTGGTGTTCGATTAAATAAACTAAAGAATTTATGACATCTGTTTTAGTCTGCTAAAAATCATTTTTTATGCCTACAATAAACTTACAACTTTATATTCTTTTATTTGATCGATTTAGATCATAAAATATTGTCTTCAAGAATTTGAAAAAGTAAGTCTTTTCAAAGATCGAACCAAAGAGTGTCAAATGGGAAAGACTCAAATTTGGAAGAATTATTCTGGAATCCAAAAGAAGAAAAGCTATGGGTTCTCACGAATCTTGAGGAAAACCTCGGTGACTTGGAATATCAGTTTAACCAATTGAAAGTTGAAGCACTATACACATCTCACGAATAATGCTCATTTATATATCTAATATCATATCTTAAAAATAAAATACCACGTGCTGGGATTAAATCGTTTTTTTTTTTTTAATTTTTAATATTAGTGTGAAATGTCTTATTAAAAAAAAATTAGCATGTTAATTTTAAAATCATTCTATGATTGTTTGGCCAGCGAAAAAATAATACACTATAATATGAAATTCGAAGTATTTTGAAATTGTTTGGTTCAGTATGAAATAAACGTACAACTTTATATTCTTTTATTTGGATTGAAGTAAAATAAAAATAGTATATTCAATGTACTAATTATTTCCTCGTGGTGGAGAAGAGAGGATGGCGGCTCATCGATGGCGTTGATGTTTGTTGCCAGTGATAATTATATGACAAGCAGTGGGTAGTTGGAAGTCGGTGATAGTTGCCAATGATGGTCATGGTGGCAGGGGACAGTCGAGAGCGTGAGACGATAAGTGACAGTCAGCGGGGCGAACAACAACATTTTATTTGGAGACGTGTATTTGAAAATTTATCAAATTCATAGAATTCCAATTAAAGAAAAGAGTAACTATGAAATGAATTTTAAATTCATTCATATATTAGAATGTATTTGTGTTTCTTTAGATCAATAAAGAAAAATTTAATTTTCCCTCTCAAGGAAATACAGTACAAAATTATAACACCTTTTGAAAGCCATCTCCTATGGACCTTATATCCTGAAATCGGTGGTTTGGGCTGCACCGTCTGTCTCCTGTGATTCCGCTCTCATCTTCTACTCTCATCTCTTCTGCTCAACGATGATGGCGACGGCTACCAAAACTGTTCGGATGTATATTCTGAAATCCTGCACTGTACATTAAAGTTTCCCCATAATTTCTCTTTACATCTCTATCTTCCCCTCATCACCTTTTCCCTCTCTTTCTCTTTTATTTTTTTACTTCAACTTAACTTGCAAGGAGATGGGAGTCTCTGCTCCGTCTGAGATCCAGCCATTCTGCTTTTTCTCCTCTTCATCAAGAAACAGAATCAGCCTCTTCCTTCTCCCACTTATCCTTCTTCTCATCCTCGCGCTCATCTAGTTACCGATGCCTGTTGCATCTCAGCTTTCCCCTATCTTTCAAATTTTACCGCCATATGGTCAGGGAGCAGTCGGGGATGGGTTGAACTTCTTTGATTCGAGTTCTTGGTGGGTGGAAATTGGCGGAAGATAGAACTCTGGCAACTGGTTCGTCTGATTTCATCATATTGTAAATAAGATCCGCTCTCTTGAGGTATTTTGGGTTCTCAAGAGGGGTTTGCTCTTTTCTCTGGAGTTTATCAAAGAATTTTTGCTTGGTCACCTTCTTGTATTTTCTTGCCTTGGAGGAAACCGAGGGCTTGTTCTTTTTACAGATTAGTAAAGTTTCTGCTGACAACTCCTCTTCAAGTTTTCAGTTCGTGTTTTGTATAGGTCTCTTCTTTTTTAGTTGAAGAGAGTTGGCATAGTCGGAGGAACTGCTGGGTTCGTTTTATGATTGGGAGCGGTTCCTCCTGCTTATGGGAATAGTGCTTCGTCCGTTGCTTGATCTCTGTTCGAAAGTGAATACTTGGATTTTGGAGCCCTCTGGTTGTTCGGTTTCGAAGACTTGGATGTCGAACTTGGGTGATCGAGTCACTTGCCATGAGTGCCGTCTGTTTCCGGCGAGCCACCAGTGTCACCGTTGTGGAAGTTTGCTCTCAGAGCCGCGGGAATATGGAGAGAGATTGCAGCTCCATGATTCCCTAATCCAGTCTCCGATAGGATTTCGCCATAACAGTCTTCCCGACCTGACTCAGATGCAGCAGTTTTCTTCTTCAACTCTTCTCAGATGCTCGACTTATAGGTTTATAGTTTTTTTACTCGTATTTGCTTTTCTAATGTGCTTTTTGGATAGAAGCATGTAATTTAAGTATGAATTAGTATATCTTGTAAATTTAGATTTAGTAGATCATCATGATGTTAAATACTGAAAACTGATTAACATGAAAATCATTTAGGGGTTTTCTGGCAATGGATTTAAGTTGGATTTAACTTAAATCTTCCAGATGGAAAAAAAATGGCAACTTCTAAATCCTGGATTTAGAAAATCCATTTTTTTTTCAATTGCTTCTCAGTTTTATCTTGAATCCCAGATTTACTAAATCCGTTACCAAATAGCCTCCAAATCTAGCTAAATCTTGATAAATTATTTGGCTGTTTAAGGATTTATTATTTAAGTACCTGCATCACATAACACCACATCCAAAAATATCCAAACCACAGACAGGAATCTCATAAACATATCAATAATTTCCAAATCTACTAAGATGCTACGTGTTGGAATTAACATCTCAAGAAGCTAATGCTAAATTTAAAAATTGAAAAAAGGGTTTATTTTAAACATCTCAAGAAGTTAATGCTACGCGTTGGAGTTAACATCTCAAGAAGCTGATGCTAAATTTGAAAAAATGAAAAAAAGGGTTTATTTTAAACCAAAGATGACTCCGTCAACTCCATGATGGGTGAATAAGATAATATATGAAATAACATCTCATTAGGAAAACATTCTTTTTCCCACAGTTATCTGCATAAACTTCAACCTCCCATTACTATTCTCTATGATAATGACGCGTATGTAAGTCATCATGAAGGGATTGATCTCTTCTTCAAAAGGGCTGGGATTGCAGTGATCTGCCATGAAGCCGCATGCCATGCTTGAGGTTGTTTTTGGATGCTAGGAATTTGAGTGACAGAAAGCAACAAATTAATGGTTTCACATTCATGACTGACCCATAAAACATCAGAATTTAATTTCATTTCCTCCTATTTTCTTAGGTGCATCCAAAGAATGGTATATTCGCTTGGTTAATATCCTTCAAATGGTTATTTATTTTTTCTATTTTTTATTATGCAGGAGTGATGAGGAAGAGGATGAAGATGACAGCGGGAGGCATTTTGTTAGTCCCACCAGTGAGTTCTCTCAGGATGTTTCTGATGTAGATTCCATTAGCATTAGTTGTAGCCAAGAGTCATGTAGCTTCAAATCATTGAATTCTAGTCCTTGGGATAGTCCAAGCAGACCTGGTGATAATAGTGATAGCCCTGGGTCTAAGGCTGTTATTTCAGATCAAGAAGAGCAGGTTTGCGCAAGGAAGCCTGGGACTGATGCTGAGGACAGTTACTATGTGTATGATAATCTTTCACCTTACCGCAGTCATGTGAACCATAAGGCTCAGCAGACATTTGATTTTGAAAAGAATGTGTGTATTTGGTATCCTCCACCTCCTGAAGATGAGAATGATGATATGGAAGATGGTTTTTTTGAGTATAATGATGAGGATGATGATGTTGAAGGTTCAGGTGTGGATTACTCGTCAAATAGCTTTATTAGTGATGCCTTTCCAATCAGAGAGAAACCCAATGATACAAAAAAAAAGCATATAGGGAATGCTGTATGCAGGCATTTCACAGCTTTGGTGCTGCAGTTGCTTAAAGATGAAAAAATTCAGGTTGGCAATGAGAGTGGTAAGGAGAGATGGCTAGACATTGTTTCGTTTTTGGCATGGCAGGCTGCAAAATTTGTTAAACCAGACACTAGGAAAGGTGGAAGCATGGATCCCGGTCATTATGTGAAGGTGAAGTGTGTAACATCTGGAAATCCCTGTGAGAGGTATTGTTGTACCAAAATTTTCTGGCAATTTTAGACATTATTACTCTATTTTTATAACAGACAGATTGTTTTTTTTTCCTTTTCAGCGCTTTTATTAAGGGAATAGTTTGTACCAAAAATGTGAAACACAAGCGCATGGTTTCACAGCACAAAAATCCAAGGATTTTGCTTTTGGGTGGAGCACTGGAGTACCAAAGGGTTTCTAATAAGTTGGCATCTATAAATACCGTAATGGAAAAGGTTTTGTTTTGTATCCTCTAACTTGTTTCTAGTTCTTCTAAAATCCATCTGTGATCTGATTCTTAAATTCACATAGGAAAGTGATCACCTGAAGATGGTCGTCTCCAAGATAGAGGCTCATCGACCTAATGTGCTTCTTGTTGAAAAAAGTGTATCTTCTTATGCACAGGAGTACCTTTTGGCCAAGGAAATATCATTAGTGCTGAATGTTAAGAGGTCGATTTTGGAGAGGATATCCCTTTGTACTGGTGCTCGGCTAGTTCCGTCAATTGATTATATTGCTTCAGCGCAGCTGGGACAGTGTGAGGTATTTCGTGTTGAGAAGGTTGTTGAAGAATGTGCATTAGGTATCCAACCAAGCAAAAGATCTGTGAAGACATTGATGTATTTTGAAGGTTGTCCAAGGCGTTTGGGTTGTACGGTAATTCTATTTTTTTCCCCTCTTCCCATCTTTTAGGATTTTATTGGTGCAAGATCTACTTTCATCATGTTTGCATCAGTAACGTTCACTTGTGTTTTTAGCATGTATTGTGCATGTAACTTTTGAGAATTTGTTTCTTATTTATTTTTTCAGAAATTATTTTTTACTTTGAATATTTTTTGTGATAATTGCTTAGTTTGATTTTTGGTGATTTTATTGATAAACATGTTGAATAGTGATCTTATTTGTATATTGTAAACTCTGAAATTCAACACCTTGGACGCTCGTTGTTGTTGAGAGCTTTCTATTTTGTATTCCAGGTCAAATTTTCAGAACTCAGATTGAATTGTAATAGGACACTATCCAGAGATTTCCCCCTTATTTTGTGATGACTTTTTTGATATTGGGTTCGAGGTTACTCATAGGCACAAGTCGCTATGGTTAATTATTCTTCCTAATAATAGGAGAGAACTTTTGATTAAAGCCCGTCATTAATTATTGAATATTCAACGTATAATAGCAACAAACTTAAGTTTTATATTATAAAATGTATTATATTGAGCTTAAAGTAAGTGGTGGGGGAAATAATGATGGACACGATTAAGTTCCCATGGTCTATCTTTTATGTATTTTGGATTATGTTATTTTGTGTAGTAGAGTAAGATATTTTATTTTGCCCTAACCTCGGTGGAAACATGTCTTGTTCCTATCAACTTGGTATTAGAGTCATACCTGGGAGTAGGGGCAGCCAAGAAATTTGTTGCTTTAGAGGAGAAATTAGAGGAAGAGGTGAACCAAATCAGATTGGAATTGAGGAGCTTTTCTTGTCCATAGAGGGATGGTACTTGATCATGGACTTACAACCCTTGGTAGAAAAGATGAAGAAGATCACAAAACTCCATGCAAGCTTGCTACTTCTTGTTGTGGGGTCAAGTAAAGGCGTTTGGTGCGGACTTGAGCGGCAACAATCAGAAGGAATCATGCGATATTATGGTTACGCAGGGGGGCAATATCGCTACCTTAGGTGGATTTGAGGTTGTTGGATTGAGTGAAATAGTAGGGAGCAGACCTGAGCGACAATGCCTGGAAGGAAAATTGCGACATCCGAATGACTTAAACAAGTAGAAGCAGAGGGAAAGGGATGGTGGCATGTAATTCGGTCTTGGAGATGATCAATTTGAAGGAAGTTGGCTTATATGATTGCACGCAAAATGGTTTAGCAGCGTGCGATTCGGTGTTGGAGAAGATCGATTGGAAGGATTTGGGTTTCGAACAGGGAACCACTATGGGTGGGACTCCGACCGAGGGCTGCATTCAATCATTCCAGTGCTTTTTGTTTGAGCAATCGTGACAGTCTTCCTTGAAGAAGACAATTCAGAAGCCTGTGGGGATGGATGAGCTGATTATGGGACGGGTCTGACTTATGGAAGAAGAGAAATCAATATAGGTTGATGAAGGGAACCCAATCACCGCTTCATGGGTGGAACGAACTTCAGTTTAGAAAATTGGGGAGTAGTCTCACACATAAAGAAGCTGATGATGTCGATCTTTAAAGGAGAGGTTGTCGATGATTTGGTTTACTGCTTGGAGAAATTTTGTTGTTAATGGACTGACAAGAAAAATTGATGATGGTGGCCTGTGTTTGAAAGGGAAGGTTTTAGAGTGACATCAATGGAAAGAAGAACGTCCACTAATCAGAATTTGGAAAGAATTATAGGACCGATTGTTGGAGCATTTTAAAACCACACGAGAAGGGGATTTACATGAGCAGATTTTTGCATTAGTCTAGGAAGGATCTATCATAAAGTATAAGGAGAAATTTGAGATGCTATCCGTTTTTTTGAGAGGGATATCGGAGCTAGTATTGGAAGAAAATTTTATGAAGGGGTTGAAGCCTGAGATTTGAGTAACACTTCGTCTGTTAAGACCATGAGAATATGGAGAAATTATGAAATTAGCCCAATTATTAAAGGTAAAAATATAATGGAATGGGCTAATAGGAGCAACATAGTTGGAACACCATTTCAAAATGCTATAACAATGACGATACCAAAAGCTCATATTGAAATTCCAGATAGAGACTCAACGAGATAGGAATAATGAGTGGCTCAAGAAAACTAGTCGACTTTTTAAAAGGGACAACAGATGGAGGATTGCAGGATGACTATGAGTGGCCCAAGAAAGCTAGTCGACTTTTTAAAAGGGACAACACCTGAATTAGTTCAGTACAGTCAAAGCAGCAAGGTCGTTTCTTACATTCGCTGGAACTTCTACATGCAGGATGTGATCTTGTTGTCCCTTTGGATGGCCCACATTATCGGGTCGTTATTTTTGTTATGCCATTCAAGCTCACCAACTCCCCAACTATATTTCAATCACTGATAAACAAGGTATTTCAGCCTTCAAAAGTTTGTGTTGATGTTCTTTGACGATATATTAGTGTACATCCGCTCCTTGGAAGACCACATTAATCATTTAAAGGTGTTGACGGTACTCGGTGAGCACAAGCTCTAAGCTAAGTTGAGGAAGTGTTCATTTGCTCAACCAAAGGCGGAGTACTTAGGACATGTGGTGTCGATTGCAAGGGCTTTGGCGGGTCAATTGAAGGTGGTGATGATGCTAGATTGGTCACTACTTAAGATCTTGAAGGAGTTGAGAAGATTTATGAAATTTACAGGGTACTCTTGAAAGTTTGTGAAAGGTTATAGCTCGATTGTGTGGTCATTGACGGTGCAATTGAAGAAGGATAACTTTCAATAGAGGAAGCAACGACCCAAGCTTTTGAGAAGTTAAAAATGGTTATGAAGATTGTACCAATGTTGGCGTCACCTAATTTCAGCCAACCATTAATTGTAGAGATGGATGCTTCAGGCTATGGGTTAGACGTGGTCGTCATACAGTGTCAATGACCTATCGCTTATTTCAGCGAAGTGCGGGTTGCAAGAGCCGGAATCAAGTTAGTTTATGAGCAGGAGCTTATGGTGATTGCGTTTGATATTCAGAAATGGTGACCTAATTTGTTGGGACGACATTTTACAGTACGCACAAATTAACACAACCTTAAATTTGTGTTAAAATAGTGTATGATGACTGAGAAACATCAGATGTGGCTATCTAAGCTATTGGGATATGACATTGAGATTTAGTGTTGTTCAATATTAGAGAATAATGTCGCTGATGCTTTATCACAACGGATGGAGGAACCTCAATTGTTAGCAATGTTAGTTCCTTTGGTTGATTGGGAGGTTCTGAGACGAGAGTGAGGCAAATGAGGAATATGACAAGATTTGGTCGACTTTATTGAATGGCGAGAACAACTATCTCAATTATTTACTGAATAATTAACATTTACTTTACCAAGGACACTATGTATTACCCCAAAATTCAAGATATATTAAAGTTATAGTATGAGTTTCAAGATAACGCTTTCGAGGGGTACTTGGGCGTACTTAAAACATACTGGTGGATAGCAGTAGAATTGTTTTGTGTGGGAATGAAAAAGAATGTGGAGGACATTGTCTCAAAATGTGATGTGTACTAATGACACAAGTACATGAATTTAGCGTCTGGCATGTTGCTACAACCTCTAGCATTACGAAAAAAAAGTGTGGGAGGAGATGATGATGGATTTCATTGAAGGCTTACCTTAGTCAAAAGGAGTGGACCAGTTGAGCAAGTACGCTCACTTAGTACATTTATGCCATCTTTATACTGTTGTTTCTTTCATCACTATTTATATATGGGAGGTTGTGCATTTGCATGGGATTCCGTAATCGATATTGTCAGATTGAGACATCTCGAGTCATTTCTGGAGGGAGTTGCTTAGAATGCAAGGTACCATATTGAAGAAAAGTACAACATACCACTCAGATCGTGGAGACATATTTACTTTGCTTTGTATCTGATGTATTCAAGCAGTGGGCTAAATCGCTATCCTTGGCAAAGCATTTGTATAATATGTTGTATCATATAACTTCTCAGACCACTCTTTAAAGTTTTATATGGTCGCTATCCATCCCATTTGTCGCATATGGACACAGTACTATGCCAATGTCTTTAATGGATTAGTACATAGAAGAGAGGGACAAGTTGTTGGCGGAATTGAAAGGACATTTATTAAAGCTCAATAATTTATGAAAAAAAAAGCTGACAGACATTGAAGGGATGTGCAATTTGTGATAGTAGATAGGATGTATCTAAAACTTCGACCCTTTCGGCACAAGACATTGGTCAGATGTTGGAATGAGAAGCTCTTCCACACTATTTGGTACTTATGAGATCACTGAGCACATTGAGGCAGTGGATTATCGTTTACAATTGCCGCCTTCATCGACGCTTTATACAATATTCCACATATTGCAGTTAAGACATGTTGTTGGTGATAATGTGTCATCTTCTTTACTTGACCTTACTTTGGTTGTGGATATGGAAATCTCTTGGAGCCACTTGAGTTAAAGGGATGCTCTAGGAATTGACAGGTTTGAAAGAAGTGTTGATTGAATGGAAAAGATTATCAAATTATGGCACCACGTGGGAGCCATATGATTTGATCCAACAATATTTTTTTCTCATTCATCTTGAGGATAATGCATCTTATTGGAAGGGGAGTAATTTTAGACCGACACCTTCCGCCTTGTGCTATATTTGGTTGAGTGGTTCCACTGAACCCACGCTGAGCCCGCCAAATAATTTGAAGGCCTATTTTAGGCGAAAGCCTGAAAGGTTAATTTAGTCATTTGTTAGTTACTATTAATTGGTATAAATAGGGCTTAATAGGATTAGGGTTTGGGAGATAATTGTCTACCTTTCTAATTGCAGATCTATCATTTATATATTTGGGATTGTGTTGTTTTATTTTAATAGAGTAGGATATTTTATTGTCTTAATCTCGGTGGAAACTTGTCTTATTCCTATCATGGTCAGAGTAAAGATATAGATGGTAGAAGTTGAATGTGCTTCTATGCATATAAATAATTTGAGCTATAATTTAGATCTCTTCTTGTTATTCTGGAAGACAATAAATCTATGTGAAAACTTTTTTTTGCACCAGTTTTAAGCCTGACAAGTCCTCTTCATAATTCCAAAAGATCCATGTTTTGTAATAAAAGCCCACATTGTACTGCTTTCTGCATCACTTTGTTTGTTTGTTAAAATGTGATGCATGCTTTCTATATAACCTCATGTTCTTGTGATGATAAACCCACTTGACACTATTTGCTCATGGATTAGCCAATTAGGGCCTGTTTTTTGTTATTTAAAGTAGTTTAGTATATTTAACTCCTATACTCCCCTCAAAATATCTGCCAATTTTCTGCACATATTTGCAATATTCGTTGTTCAAATACCTTTCGATCATATCAAAATCCTTAAATAAATCTTCTACATGAAAAGTTTCTGCATCTTCCTAAAATTTGTTTCTGTTTTATTCCCTTTACAACTAGTTCTTGACCCGTCACCCTTTGTATATTCCTTGGAGTAGGGCATTTAAAAAATTTGGATTGTTTTTTGTTATTTAAAGTAGTTTAGTATATTTAACTCATATACTCCCCTCAAAATTTCTACCAATTTTCTGCACATATTTGCAATATTTAATGTCCAAATCCCTTTCGATCATATCAAAATCCTTAAATATATCTTCTACATGTTTTTTTCTGTTTTATTCCCTTTACGACTAGTTCTTCACCCCGTCGCCCTTTGTATATTCTTTGGAGTAGGGCATTTAAAAAATTTGGATTGTAGAATATATATGATAAAAGATTTGAGGTATTTTCATGATAATATTCCTTCTATATTGAAGTATGCATGCCAAATTAGCTGATCCTCTAGTAGAAGTTGCTAATGATATGATCAGGGAACTTATTGACATGGTAAGTTAGGCTTTCCTGATTGATCAATACTCTTTTTTATTTCTAGTTATAAATGTCAATTATTAAGTCTATTTATCTTACCAAGTTCAGTCTCTGAAACGTGTAGGTTATTCTGAGAGGCCCTTGTCTGGAGGAGCTGAAAAAGGTTAAGCGTGTTATTTCATTGGCAATCTTTGCAGCCTATCATCTATCACTTGAGACCTCATTTCTTGCAAATGAGGGTGCCACACTTCCTGAACTTCCCATTAAGAGCCCGAGCTCTATTTCAGAGAATGTAAAGGATGCTGGTGCTGTTGCCAAGGCCTCAATGTCAGCTGGGTCCAGCATAGTACAGCCAATTGCAGAAAAGCATCAAAGCCCATTTGTGTGCTCAGATGCTTTAAATCTAAATGAGAGAATCCTCAAAATTGCTGCTGAGCAAAATGATCATAATTGTTCACTTGACGACAAGCTCTCTAATGATATTTCTAGTTTATCCACCTGTAATACGCTGGGTCAGATGGAGAGCACTAGAAATGTAGGCCTATGTCAACAACCTAAATGTCATAGTACAATAATTGACAGAATTCAGGTAGGAGATGGTAGTCCAGTCAGAGATAAAAAAAGCATATCTACTTATAAGCCCTTGATATCCGCTGAATATGCTGACAGACATGATTACTTGGAGGTACCTGATGAGTACTATTGCACAGCTGACAGCCAGAGCATCTTAGTTTCTCTGTCAAGTACATGTATTCCTAAAGGAACTGTGTGTGAACGCTCTCAACTTTTCCGTATCAAGTTTTATGGTAGTTTTGATAAACCATTACGAAGGTATCTCCATGAGGACTTGTTTGATCAGGTAACACTGTGTGTTCACAGTTTGTGTGTTTGTGCATATACATACATACATATGATTTCCTATGATTTCCTTCCCTTCTTAGCAGACTTCCAGCTGCAGATCTTGCAATGAACCAGCTGATGTTCATATCCGTAGTTATATTCACCAGCAAGGCAGTCTTACAATAAGCGTTAAGCGACTGACTTCAATGAAGTTGCCTGGTGAGCGAGATGGAAGGATATGGATGTGGCACAGGTGTCTCATGTGTGAACCCAAGGATGGAATCCCACCTGCTACGCATAGAGTAGTCCTGTCTGATGCAGCTTGTAGTCTATCTTTTGGGAAATTTTTGGAGCTTAGCTTTTCAAACCATGCAACCGCTAATCGTTTGGCAAGTTGTGGCCATTCTCTGCAAAAAGATTGCCTTCGCTTCTATGGGTATTCTCTTTAGGATTGGTTGCTGCAAACATGCTTGAAATTTGTTTATAAAGTCATGGTTCTGATTACTTTCTTTGACAGGTTTGGCAATATGGTTGCTTTCTTTCGCTATTCACATGTAGACGTTCTTTCTGTATGCTTACCACCTCTGGTGCTTGATTTTTCTTGTCACACTATGCAGGAGTGGCTGAGAGGCGAGGCAAATCTGGTATGCTGTTGAACTTGTACTGTTCTTTTCTCTGAATAGTTTTAAGCATCATGTGTTCAAGGCTTTATTCATTTGTTTCTTCACAGATCCTTTCAAGTTTGGACTCCCTGCACTTGGAGATCTTTAACGCCTTTGAGAAAATTGAGCTGAAGATTTCAAGATGTGATAGTGAACCCATAAAGGAAATTATACATAAGCATATTTTAGAGCTGAAAGATGTCCTGCAAAGAGATAAAATGGATTATGATGTAAGTTTTCATGATTGTGATAGTCTTAGCTGGTTTTATGTTAAATTATGGTGCTGAACTCAGGCTCTCTTTTTCATATTGAGCAGGTCTTGCTCAAACCAGCGTCTGTGGAGAATGGTCAAATCTCTCAAGGAACTCTTGATATCTTAGAACTAAATCGGTTGAAACGCAGACTTTTAATTGACTCTGTCATGTGGGATCGCCGGCTTTGTCTGCTAGATTCCTTTTCCAATTCAAACGGTTCTAATGCAAAGAGTCAACCCCAATCTCCGAAAGAAATTACTCATTGCATCAATACTGAGCTCTGGACTGAACCTGTTTTTAAGGAGGAACTGAGTGGTTCATCTGTGCAATGCAATGTGAGGTCACCCTCCCTCTCAGAGAAATGCAATAAAAAGCTACATGAAGAGTTCGGCAAGCATATTTTAGAATACAATACAAGTAACTTCGTTGAGATGGATTTGTCAATTGAGACTGTCGGAGGCTATGTTGGTGCAGCAGGTCTCAATTTGATTTCTGGTCAATGTTATAGAGGGGATGTAGATCAATTAGGATCCATGGGGAGAGATACTTCTTGCTCGATGGGTGTAAAGCCACGAGCATCTAACTTGTCTGATAGAATTGATTTGGCATGGACTGGTTCAAGCCAATCACTGACTGGTCAGCTTTCCAGCGATGAAGAAGCTGACTTGTTAGGACAACATAGTCTGTTGAATAGTCCACGCAACAAGAAATTGATGTCTCCAGTCAGGGTCAGTTCTTTTGATTTTGCTTTGAGACCGAGGAACAGACTCCGTCAAGGATTACCTCCGCTTTCATTGCATTTGTCTTCTGTCAAATCATTTGATTCCTCTAGAGTTTCTGGTGGCATGGTTTCAATCCCTAGCACTCAGGAATTTAGCCGAAGATCCCCTTCATCTATCAACAGTTTAGGTTTACTTTCTGGTCATAAATCCGTCTTTATCTCATCTGTTTCTTGTACAGCGAGTGAAGCAGCCCGATTGCTAATACCTCAAAAAGGCCAAATCGATGTAGTAATCGCACTTTATGACAATGAGCCAACAAGCATTATATCCTATGCAATTTGTTCACAGGAACATACCAATTTCATAAGCTGCAAAGCTATCCATCATGAGATAAACTCTGAGGACGTCATATTAAATACTGGTTTAGCAAGCTCATCAGTTTCTCAGTTTCAAGGAGATGATACTCATCCTATGGGCCACGGATTAGATGAGTCTAAGCCTCTTCATGGGAGTAGAATTGCAGATCACAAAAATGTTCATTTCAAATTTGCATTCGATGACGACTATTCAATTAAAGGTCATAGAGTAAAATTCTCTGTTACGTGCTATTTTGCAAAGCAATTTGATGCACTGAGGAAGAAATGCTGCCCAAATGATCTTGATTTCATTCGTTCTCTAAGCCGCTGCAAGAAATGGAATGCCCAAGGTGGTAAAAGTAATGTTTATTTTGCCAAGTCACTGGATGAAAGGTTCATCATTAAACAGGTAACAAGAACAGAGTTGGATTCTTTTGAAGACTTTGCTCCGGATTACTTCAACTATTTAACAAATTCAATAAATACTGGAAGTCCCACCTGTCTTGCTAAGGTCCTTGGCATTTATCAGGTACTATATCTGTTTTATTATACTCACCTGAGCACATGTGTACGACTCTCTTATGTTTCGGCTGATTTCTTTTCCTAGGTGACTGTCAAGCACTTAAAAGGTGGAAGGGAAGTGAAGATGGACTTAATGGTGATGGAAAACCTTCTTTATGGAAGGAATGTTTCAAGAGTTTATGACCTCAAGGGTTCATTACGTGCCCGCTACAATGCTGATACTTCTGGGTCCAACACAGTTTTGATGGATTTGAATCTGTTGGAGACATTACGCACAAAGCCAATTTTTCTGAGCAGCAAGGCAAAAAGAAAATTTGAAAGAGCTATCTGGAATGATACATCATTTCTTGCGGTAAAACACACAAAACCTGTAGATGGTCTGCAACATTAACTGCTTTGATCATTTTTATTCTGTAGAAATCTTTGGGGTAATATACACTTCGCCTCGTCTTTCTTGTTATGCAGTGTGAATTTGTCATTTAATAAATACCAAGGCATCATCTAATTTATTCAAACATTTCCCCATGCAGTCATATTTTGAAAGTTTGTAACCTAGTTTTGAAACCTACTGCGCTTGTGACTTGAAGCACACTATGTTTTCTTTCACTCACTACTTAATTTGCATCTGCACTTCCTTTTTAACACACAACTGTAACCATTTATAAATAAAAGCCTTGCATCTGATGACAAATAAGAACCTTCATTGATGCACGTAATTATTTTACCTTCGTCCTTTTGCAAGTATGGTTTATAGGCTTTCTATAATATTTTGTATTTATTTATTTTACCTTTACTTATGCACGTAATTCTATTATTAACGTGATCAAACCATCTAAGGCAACTCTCTCTATTCTTGTCTGTCATTGGAGCTACTCCAACCCTTTCACGAACATATTCGTTTTGCATTTTTTCTCTTAAGTGTAAAGCAGCTTATCCATCAAGCATTCTCATCTCAGCCAACTTAATTTTATGCTTCTCTTTTAAAGGCCGACATTTTGTATCATAAAGCATTGCAGGTCTCACAACCATCTTATAATTTTTTTTTAAAGTCTAAGCAGTACTTTTCTATCACTCAACAGGTATGATGCATTCCTCCATTTCAACATCCAACATGAATTCTACTAATCAAATCCTCATTTATATCTCTATCACTTTGAACAATATGCCCGGTATATCTAAGTTATTCACACTTTTTAATGAATTAATCATCAACTGTTATAACCTCGCCATTAGATCTACCACTACTAAAATTACATGCCACGTATTCACTTTTAGATCTACTAAAACAAAAACCTTGAGATTCTGAAGTTGACCTCCATAACTTAAGTTTTTTTCTAAACTTTCTCTCTAGCTCATCCACAAAGGATATTATTAGTGAAAAGCATACACCAAGATACATCCTTCTGTAAATATTTAGCAAGGTCATCCATAACTAAAGAAAAAAAGGCACGGGCTTAGAGCCGATCCATGATGTAATCCAACTGAAAATAGAAAATACTTGTTCAATCCTCCTTATATTTGAACAAGTAACAGCATTCTATGTCACCATTCAAAATTCCTAAAAGGGATAGATTTCATTTATCGATCCAAGGCAAGAGAGCTTGTTCAAATCTCAACAAAAGCTAATTCTCTAGTTATTTTGATTCACCCATCATAAAGGGGGCCACCCAATCAGTCAGCCAAAGAGATGACCAACTGATAGGTTTAAGGGCATCATGCACACCCAAAATTAGCACACACAGACACTGAAATATGTGTGTGTGTCTATATATATATATATATAATAATAATAATAATTATTATTATTACTAAAAGGCTAAGCACAAAGGTTGTATACAAATTCCTATTTTCAATATGACCAAACGATGGATCATAATAATATAGTCAAATAAGGCATTTAACTTACATCACGTTCTCATAAACTATTAGTCATCACATAGTTTTGGTGCCATTTATTTCAATTTATTATAGTTACGATTGATGCATCTCCTTTCGTTTCCCCAACAACATTCAACCAGGTAATCTTCTCATCAATACTTATCGGTAGACACAATTTATGTCTCACCAAATAGGTTGCAACTATGTCACAATGTGCTTTATGTTTTGGGCTACCGCAGATGTCTTACATCACTATCTAGGTCATTCCTCACAACATGGTTTGCATGTGTCATAACATGCCTTACAATAAAAGCTGCCACTGTGGGCTTGACTCATCATCCAAGCCATGCCTTGCTTCAAAATCTACACTATGTTTGATTTGCCTTCTAGCGTAAACCACGATAAGTCAATATTTTTACTGTTTTTTTTTTTTCTAGTTTACTATTTTATACATAATACATGATCATAATGTTTATAATTATGCAAGTTGAGGATTTAAATTATTAGGCAATATTGGTAAGCATTAATAAAAAGAGAGAAGACAAGGAGATCACCATGATATAACACATGAAACACACTATATATAACGGTTAAGCTTCCTAACTTAGGCGTGCTTACGAAGAATTGCAAGTGAGAGCTCCTTCAGCTGGTTAGGGCCTCTAGTTAATCGGACTTCTCACTGCCTCCACTCCAACTACATAATCATGCTTCTATTAGTCTCTCATTCTCATTGGTTTCAATGAATGATAACCCCTTCATTGTAGGTACTATAAGAAAAAAGGTTGCGAAGTCGGATGTTATTGGCTTGCTTCTTGGTCAGCTTCTCTTCCTTTAGGGTTTGGCACCATCCTAGTGTTTTTCTCTTTCCGATTTTTCCATGTGGCAGCCTCCCAGTGTTTGCTTTAGCCAATTACTCGGAGAAAAGGCCTGATTGCTAGTAAATTTAACATTATTTCCCTAAGGATGTTTTATCCCTACTTGATACAGATAGGTTTTTCTAGACTAGGTTAGGGTCCCTCCCCTTGGGCTGCAAACCTAATCGCACATGGGCCGACTTGTCCTAGAGCTCTTGGCTGAATCGGTTCTACGCTTCTCCACCCGGTTCAGCCCTCTCCAAAGAGCCTTGTGTTACTCTCCTGGTGTTGGGAGAGCTTCAACTTTATTCGTCGAAGCTTCTGGTTCTTTGTAGTATGGAGTCAAGTCCGCTACGTTGAAAGTAGTAGAGACATTGTAGTCTCTGGGAAGGTCGATCATATAGGCGTTGTCGTTCAGCTTCATGAGGATCTTGAATGGTTGAGCTTTCTGAATGCTCCCTTTTGAAGTCTTCTTTCTTTAACTTGATCCACACTAGGTCCTCTTCTTGAGAAGTCACATTTTTTCCAATCTAATTTTCCCGTGCTTGGTACTTGTCGTTCTGCTTAGTGATTTCCTTCTCTACCTTCTCATGGAGCTTCTGAATATGTTGTACCTGTTCCTCAAAATCCTCATTAATCTCTGATGTCAGCAGAAGAAGTACCAAATCAAGTAGTGCGAGTTGATTGTGCCCGTACACAATCTCAAATGGTGTGCGTTCCGTGGCCTAACTTGCGGATCTATTGTAATCAAACCTGTCTTAAGCTAGAGTCAAATCTCATTGCTTAAATATTCTTTTCCACAAATCATTAAGAAGGTTCCCCAGACTCCTGTTCATTACTTCCATTTGTCTGTTTTAAGTTAAATGCTGATTTGACATCACTAATCCGGGTATGAGATGTATGACGTGCTGAATTTCTCTCAGTGGTGGTAATCTCTCCGAAAGACTATCGGTCATCACATCCTGGAAGTCACACAACAGTGGTTGTATAGGTGTCATCATCTTAGCCTCTGTTGGAAGTCACACAACAGTGGTTGTATAGGTGTCATCTTAGCCTCTGCCTTAGTTCCCTCTAATAGGACCAACTCCGTTTCCACCTTGGCATCTCTAATTGACTGCATGAAGGTGGCTTTTAGGACCATTGCCTGCTCTGGGACGTCTACTCCTCTCACGCCCTTGTGTGGTAAAAGCATGATGCATCTCCCATCTTTTTTAAAGGAATAAGTATTCTTAAAGCCATCGTGTTGGGTTTTGCATTCGAACTGACATGCCTTTTCGATAGAATATGACAGCGTCCATAGGGACCACGTCACACCACACTTACTCTCGTTAATGATCCCCAATAAAAAATTCAATCAAGCATTGTTGATCCACACATATCTCGTTTATTTTTTTTCAACCTGATAAAGGAGTAGGATTGGGGGTGCTTCTGTATGGCCAACCTTAATTTCTTTACATTTATGTGGATACTATATTCTCACAGCTCCTATTGTCGGTAATCAGACCGCAAACTTCTTCCTTCACCGTACACTTGGTGCAAAAAAATATTGTGCCTCAGCCATGAATGCTTCTTTGACTCCGTTTGTATGACTATCATCTCTCCCTTGTCTCTCTGGAGCTGAAGTTTCTCCTCTGGATTCTCCTCTGTTTCCTCTTCCTCCTCTTTCTCCATGATGATCTGCCCTGTGAATGGAACAACTCGGTCTGTGGGACAACTAGAGGCTATGTGTTCGTAGCTCTGACATCCGGAACATCTCCTGACAGGCACTGTACTGGGTGAGCTACCCTTTTTCAGTTATTTCCACTCAGATATGTTTTATCTCTTTTCTGTTTGGTCTTCCCAACTCTTCTAGAGGTACCCTTGTTTGTAGTTGTAGCTGCAATTGCAGGTGATTTCTTGAATGAGGGTTGTTGTCTGCTCTGTTTCTGCTATCTCTCCACCTTCAGGGCTAAGGTTGGGACATCTCCTAATGACTAATAGAGCTGCAGCTGCTCAACATTATTTATAGTGAGCTTTAGCCGCCATAGATAATGTGCTATGGTAGGTTTATCTGGCTCAACTAATTTGCACTTCATCTGCAACTGGTCAAACTATGTCGTGAACTTCTCCACTAATAGGTCTTTCTGCTGTAGGTGGAGTTTCAAAAATATATCCTCGTGGTAATCAGGAGATAAGTATTTTCTCTGCGTTTCCTTTTTCATCTTCTTCCACTTTGTAATGTTGCCACTACCCTCTCTTTCTCTGTTTCTATAATTTTTTCTACGACAAAGAGACACTCTTTTACAATGTGATGGTTGCAAGCTTTACCCTTTATTCTCTGACATTTCGTTGTACTCAAAGATTCTCTCAACTGACCTGCAACCATTCAAGAAAATCTCTTGATGTATCTCTTCCTGGATAAGTTCCAGCACTTGTCTCCTTGGTGGGATGATTAGGGTTTTGTGATTGGAAGAGGTGGTTGAGGATAGGAAAAGAAATTTTTGGCGATGGGGGTGGTTTGGGTAAGGTGGCTACTAGGAAATCCTAAGAAAGGACTAGGGTTATATTAGCTTTGATACCAATTATATCAGAGTTAACCCCAAATCGCAAACGGAAAGGAAATATTATTCTTGATAATCGAAAGTGTTAAAACAAGGAATCGTAAATAGGAACAAAGCAACACACACAAACGACACTCTAGAGCGAGGATAAAATGGTGGGTTGTGGCTAGACAACAAGTATGGGATGATTTGGAGGGGCAGAGGTAGACAAGTTGGTGGAGCGTCAACCATTTGAAGAAGTGAGGAGAGGGTTGCAGCAAAATATAGGGAATTTGGAGAGTTGCAACAGTTACAGGTTGGCGGGAAGGAAGGGGTAGCGGTGTCAAGCAGGAAAAGCGAGCAAAAAAAGGTACATGAAGGAGATTTGCGGCGCAGCGGGACGACACGTGGGACTAGCGGAAATCTAGTGAGATGGGCCTGGAGGAGGAATCAGAGAGATAACCACCACCGTGAAGTAGGGTACAGTCGGTACACCACATGTCTTTAGATATAACCCTAACAAGGGAAAAGACGTCGATAATAGGAAATTCAGAAGTAAAAAATTGAAACCCTAATCACCAATGTATATATAATTGTAGATAACTAAGAGGGGCGTTTTAAATTTAGGGAATACATTATGTATTCCCTAGTTTCTCCTGTGCGCCATCTACAAGAATGGCCATGGGGATTCATACCACCCTTAAGGTATCCATATTAATGTTTGACGAGCAGCCTAATGAGAACTGTTCTCATTCTTCCAACTTATATTATCTTTTTTATTTTGCTCTTATACGTTTACTATATGACCCAAATCTTGGCATGTGAGGACTCGTGAATTTTGATTCGTGGCTTAGAGGAAGTGACTCAGTTCGACCTCTTAGGGGAGTCAAAGTCAATTGACTTAGTCCTGTCATACTCACCTAACAAAAGCTAGTTGGCTAATGGACTGCTTAACTCAATTTGATTGACCAAAAAGAAGAGCACTCTGTAGGTTCAAATGCATCACTAACACACAAATCGAAAAGTGGTTTAGTTTACTTGGGAATAAACTAGAAACATTAAAAAAAAAAAGATGCCTTCTATTATATTTTGGCCCATGGTCTCATGAAGTTCATACATCAAAGTATCACAAAAAAAAAAAAAAAGAAAGATAAAGTCTCATGAATATGCACTTGAATCTTTTAAGGCTTGACATGCGCTAGCCTCACGACTCTGTGATTTTCTACCTTTCAATTATCATCCTCTATCTGGTTTTGTGCCGACATGATCTCTGAAGATATAATAGCTTTGGAATAACCTTGTGGGAGAACACTAAACGCATTAAAAGTGGGCCATAAACTATTTCCTCTGCATAATCAAAGTCAATTGACTTGATTTTTCTTCTTCCGTGTAAATTTTTATTTATTTATTTTGGCATCCTTTACAGTCCATTGATGTCATGGATTATTCATTGCTTGTGGGTGTTGATGAGAAGAAAAAAGAACTGGTTATAGGAATCATAGATTACATGAGGCAATATACTTGGGACAAGCAGCTGGAAACATGGGTTAAGGCTGCAGGAATCCTCGGCGGCAGCTCCAAGAATTCCTCTCCAACTGTTATATCTCCATTGCAGTACAAGAAAAGGTTCAGAAAAGCCATGTCCAACTATTTCCTCACTGTGCCAGACCAATGGTCTTCATGAGCTTCTCTCAAGCCTATTTGTTCTCAAATCATGGGAGAGAGCCTGGAGGCTTCTGAAAAGGTATATATTCCTCATATATATAAAGAGGAAAGGATGAAAGGTATTTTCTTCTTCTTCTTCTTCTTCTTCTTCACATAACTTTGTCTTTTTGTATTTTTCTTCCG